CAACTTTGACTTTTTTAAAGGCGCTGACCATTGAAATTAAAGTTGCACATAGCAAAAAGTTTACAATGATGAATTTCATGTTGATGAGGTGTGTTGGTGTGTGTGTGAGTTTTGAAGAAACAAAGTAAAATTTTCACGAGAAATGAAAGTATATCACTAGATTTAACTCAAAGATTGAACTGATGGCCACAATTGGAAAACTCACTCTATTTATACTCGTCTATCGAACAAGTTAAAACACTCAAGGCTAAAAATGCGCACATCTTCAAATATTTTCTTCAGAGCAAATCTCTTTCTTCCACCCCAATCATTACTCATTTACAACGAACTTTTTTGAAACACAACTTTAGGCTGAGTATAAAATTTTCCCTTTTAGTTAATCTTTTAATTCTTTTTCGTTAAGATAAATCTGTATCACAGTCAGCTAAAAACGGATGAGCGAGACAATCTGATGCTTTAGCACGTTTTTCTGGATCATATTCGAGCATAGGTTTTAAGAAATCAGTAAATTCTTGGGCGATTTGTGGCTCCCATTTATATTTCTGAGTTAAAACTTCAAAAAGACCCCATGGTTTGAAAGATATTATACTTCGAAGTTGACCTGTGAAAAGTAAGACAGTTTCCAGTCAATCCTTTCTTCTCATAATCTTCAACAAACATTGTATAAGGTCGACCCTGTTTGGAAATGGACATTGTATAAGAAAAAGAGTTTTTATTCAACCAGAAAGATTAATATTTGCTGAAAATATACCTAAAAAGACACAATCAACACAATTGTAACATTTATTCACAAGCTGAAGAGTTACTGCAAAACAAATGGTCAAAAACAGGTAATAATAAACTTTGTTCAAATTTAGACTTTGTTTGTTTGTAGAGTTGAAAAAACTGAGTCCATCAGTGTGATTAAAAAATATATCTGATCAGTTTCAATTTGGATCTCAAGAAAATCGAGATCCAAATTGAAACTTCGATCGCAGTTTGTACGGTTACGTGAGCAGATTTTTTCATAAAACTTAATTTCCCTTATTGATATTATGCTTATCAACCAGAAAATGCACTTATTTTAAGAAAAAAAGTTTTCGGCTTCTGTAAAAGCGATCAAGTTCGATTTTCAATTAAACTTGTCGCATTCAATGACCATTTTAGTTAGAGAACTGAAACTTATTTTCAGAGCATAAAAATTGTTCTCACACACCAGGAATTCAATACTTTTTCCGATTGATCAATAGTTATCTTGATTTTGGCCATTGACCTAAAAACTTTGAACATCGGTATTTCGAGAATGGTAACACGTACAATCTTCATTGTTTGACCAAACATTAGTCTGCATTATGTATTACAATATAATGAAATATGAAATCATTCAAGATGCCACGAAAAAAGTTATAGCATTGGATTTTTATGTTACCAGATTTGAGTTTGTTATCGGGTTTTCTTATCACAAATCTCAAGTGTCAGAAGGATATTCATGCTCAAATGAATTAACTTGGATTTTATTCAATCATCAGTCATATTATATTATAAGTCATAATGCGATCTATCGTTTGGTCAAAAAATGATGATTGTGGGTGCCACCGTTCTCGAAATATCGAGGTCCAAAGTTTTTGGGTCAACTGCCGAAATAAAGAGAACTATCGATGGATTGAAAAAAATATTTGCTTCAGGGTTTGTATAATTAATTTTTATGGACCAACAGTAATTTGCAGAAGTCTAAATCTTACGGCCAACAAATGCGACACGTTTAGGCCAAAATCGAACTTTTCTGTTTTACAGAAAACAGGAAATGTTTTTTCGCAAAATAAGTTCATTCTAAGGTTGGCCATCAAAACTCAATAATGAGAATATTAATTTTTTTAGAAAATATAGTCACACAACTGTACAAATTGCGATCGAAGTTTCAACTTTGGCCTCGATTTTCTCGAGAACAATTGACCAGAGAGATTTTTTACCCACACGAATAGACTCAGTTTTCAAAACCCTACAAACTAATAGCGTCTAAATTTGAAAAAAGTTTATTTTTACCCGTCTTTGAACATTTGTTTATGCAGTAACTCTTCAGCTTGTGCATAAATGTTACAATTGTGTTGATTGTGTCTTTTTAGGTATATTTTCAGCAAATATTAATCTTTCTGGTTGAATAAAAACTCTTTTTCTTATACAATGTCCATTTCCAAACAGGGTCGACCTTATACGATGTTTGTTGAAGATTATGAGAAGAAAGGATTGACTGGAAACGATCGATTCGAAGGTTATTGCATTGATTTAATGAACGAGATTGCAAAAAGACTTCAGTTTAAATATGTTATCCGTTTGGTTGAGGATCGAGCTTATGGTCGGCGAAACGAGAATGGAGAATGGAATGTAATGATTGGTGAATTAATTGATGGTTAAGCACAACTTCTAGCATTCATTTGCGATCTAGAACATTGATGCTAAGCGCTAATTGTTTAACTTTATCTTGATTCTAAACAGAAAGCTGACATTGCTGTGGCTGATTTAACGATTAATTATGAACGTGAATCTGCTGTAGACTTTACCATGCCATTTATGAACCTTGGAATCGGTATTCTTTCTCGGATATAAGATATTTTTCGGTTGTGATTAACACTGAAAAGACACAATCAACACAATTGTCACACTTATGGACAAATTTACACAAATACTGCAAAACAAATGGCAAAAAGGGGTGCAAAGTCAAACGATTCTTAAATTATCTTAGTCGGTCATTGGTTTTAAAACTCTGATGTCAATATTCAGTCATACTAAACCATAATGTCAGCACGTATTTACGTTCAAAGTTTTGAGGCCAATGGTCAAAATGCAAAAGAACTGTCGATGAATTGAAAAAGCTATTCGATCCATGGCATGTACCATTAATTTTTATGGACCGATAATAAATTTTGACTCTCCAACTCTTTCTGTCACAGAAGATGTTCGGTTTAACTGAAAATCGAACATGATCTGTTTTACAGAAACAGAAAATTTTATTTCTCTAAATAAGACCATTTTCTGGTCGATCGTCGAAAGTTACACCACTAAAGGAGTTTTCATGAAAAAATTTGCTTCTATTTTTGTAGCAAAACGTTTGAACTTTCAGTTTTGCACTCGATTATCTCGAGAACTATTGATCAGAGCGATTTTTAGCTCGCATAAATTGACTCAGTTTTTATGCCCCTACAACCTAACAGAGTCTAAATTTGAAAGAAGTTAAATTTTACCCGTTTTTGACCATTTGTTTTGTAGTAACTCAGTCAATTTGTGCATAAATGTTACAATTGTGTTGATCGTGTCTTTTTAGCAACAACCTCTTTTAAACTCAACTGTATGA